ACAGTCACATTACAACTTGCATGGTCCCTGTCAAAAAACATGCATTAACCAGAGCCAACAAGCCCTCAGTTCGCTGCTAACCACTGACGGACACCCGTGCTCTCCATGGGGCAGGGCCTAATCCTCAGGCTGTGAAAGCCATAGGATACTGTAGAAGGAAGTAGTTTTCCTATTACTTTCCAAAGACTCTGTAAAAGTTGTTGAAAGTACGATTCCTCTTCTCTTCCCGCAATATTCCTCACGGATTTGCTAATGCCTCCTGCTGACTGCGGGCACATCTTCAAAGACAGAGAGAGAACATCATTGTGCATTCATCTGGGCCCGTGTGAACTCATCAGCTCCAGGAGTTTCATAGGAATCCGAGTGACAGCACAGTTTAGTCCTGTGAATACCAGAGCTGTTTTACAAAGTGCCGATGCTATTTTGTTGGGAGTTAGAGTAATGCATTTTACATTGATTTTACCACTGTAGTAGATTATTTGGTGAGCTACTTAATTTGAAGAGTAAGCAAACACCTGACAATTTTGCTTTCAAATCACTTGTTCTAGTAAATCTTAAGCAATGGGCATATTTGTCAAAATACGTGGTAAATAAAAAAATTATTGTGTTCCCGTAACATGGAAAATAATTCAGTGCCTGATCTTGGGTGGATCTGCATAGTACTGGACTGTAAACAGGTTATGTATCTCATTTTGTGTTACCTTTTGGCTACTTTTCTACTGCTGCAATGTTCATCTCTTTCTCACAGTGGCTGATGGATGGCACTATAGATGTTCCATTAAGGTGTATGAAAATTATTTTTCAATTTATTGTGGCTCTCTGAGGTCTCAGCTGTATGAAGGCCACAGGTCAATTGTCCTTGAAATGCCTCTTGAATAACCCTTTGTATCAATAACATGAAGTATCTTGAGGTAAAGTTATCCTACCTACGTTACCTTGTCACTCTTCTAGGTCACTGTAGAGACCATTTGTGGGATTGGATGAACCTTGTCCCTCTTATGTTTCTTTTTATGTCTGAACCAAACATTCCCTTTGCTCAGAAGACCCAGCAAGAAGTTCCCTGGCTGGAAGGCATTTCTGTGAGAAACCTTCCTGATGCAAATCAGGGGGGAAAATAAAAAAGGAAGTGCATGCACCCACAGCCTTGAATGGCAGAGAATACAAACGAGGATTCTATAGCCAAGACCCGAGAGTAGAATCTCCAAACCTTTACCCAGTGTGAACACTGAAGAGAAGAAAGGACACTGGATTTCTACAATTTATACATTTTTGTGTAAATTCTCTTACCAACCTCTGGAACCTCCTACCAGGAGATTGTCATCAAGTGAAACACAACTTCAGTGAGTGAACAAAACATTTTTGATCCTATATCTCTTCTGGGAAGTCTTCAATGCCTAAGTACCAAGGATGGAAGTTGAGTCAGTTCTGCAAAATTTCACTTACAAAGATAAAAACCTTATATACCCCCAAACGAAGAAGTCACTGCTAGTGCTGGATTATCCATTGTCCCTAAATAACCACTATGTGGCAGATACAATGCAGGTTGTGGCTGAGACAGACAATATATGACAGACTGTACTTGAGAGGGTTAAGAGAGCTTTAAAAGCTGCAATCTTCATAGTAGTTTGAGCTACCTCACTTTACTCCATATATACACAGACCACAAGGAATGATGGTACCTTCATTTCAGTTAAAGACCAGCATCTTGTTAAGATCACTGCTTAATCACCTGTGATCTGACCAGGCCCTTAAATACCTTCCAAAATGGAAAATATTGGCCAGAAGACATTTATAAGTCTCTGAACTTAAGTCCCAGAAAGGTGTCCAAAGACTGAAGGTACAATCATTTTCTTCACAATATGGAATAGGTGAGAAGAGTGAAGCCAGAACTGATTTCCCATTTAACTCTCCCTCATGTCTACACCTTTTACAAGTCATTACACCTCAAAGGGACCTGAAATACATATTCATTTCCAGACCCATCTTGGGCTGGTAAAATACACCGCTGGCTTTTCACAGGCTTAAGCCTCTGCATTCAGTGTAACCTGAAGTGATTTTTCTGGCAAAATTTCATCAACTATCATTTTGTATAAATGATTGTAATAACAATATGCTACCAATAAAATATGCTACCAAAACTGTTCTTCTTTTGAGTTCATGTGGTTTCTATGTATTAATGAGAATGTTACACACACATGCACAGCAGGGTAGAGTAGCCCCTGAAGTGTTCTAACTCACTATTAATTTCTCCTGGTGGATGACTTTGTCCTCATAACAATAATAAAGCTGTGGTACTTTATAAAATGCAAAAGGTCTCTTGAAGGTTGGTACAGGCTGTTGTTCTAACCCACTACCTTTGTGAAATTCCATCCAAATTAGAAAGATCTGGTAATTGAGACGTACTCATAAAAGGTTCTAGACTTAAAAGTACTAGCTGTAAACTCTGCCCAGGCACTTTTTTGTCTGGTTGGTTTTTTAAGTAGCTTTCTGCTGCTAATTCATCAAGGCAAAGTCATCATTTGGAATAAAACCTCCAGTTTTTATCATTGTTTAGTTAACTCTGTTCTTGCACCTTGCATTCTAGTTTCTCAGCTAAACACTAAGGGGAAAACAGGTACATACTTCATATTTTCATGCAGTGAGAATTCCTGCAGCCATAACCTTCCAAAAACTGTCCTCCCAAACTGAACATAACCAACATATTCCAAATTCCAAGGTGAGCAGATCCATTCTGAATCTGCCCAGAATTATTACCACAACATGTTACTGGGGGACACTGGGCTGCAAAAAGCAGTCCTTTAAATGACATTACTACAGTTTAGAGGCATTAATTTATCCTAAATAGCTAAAAGTTTGTTACAGGATCATCTCTATTTCAATAGATACAGAAGTGCCTGTTGTTATGACAGAACTCTTAACTTTTACCTCAGGGTCTTTTCTGTCTGCCAGCAAATTGTGAGTCTTCAAAGCCATTTTCTGTTGTTGTAGGTTTGTTATAAACTAACCCTTGAGAAAATTTACAGCAAATGTAAAAAAATTATTCACTCTTATTAGATCCAAATTCCAACAAAAATCCTTGAAGATAACGGACTTAGAGGTAAATGGAAAATGGAATAAAATCTGTCACAGGTTTTACAGAGTTGCAGGACACAAGAGAAACCTTGCAGGGATTTCTATTAAGATAATTTAATTTCTAGATAAATAAAATTCCACATAGCTAGTTTAATCTGTATATCAAAGCATTTATTTTGATACCACAGATATTTCCTTATCTAATTGGAGAAGATAAGGATGGTGGTCTGGAAATGGCTGAAGAGGGAACAGTGGCACTTTCTGCTCAAAGCGAGACAGGACGGAGATCCTCACCAGTCAGTCCTGGAAAAGTTCAAGCACAGCCTTGCAAGGAGGCATCTGGAAAACCTCAGCACAGGGAACAGGCTGCACCTCATGCCCTCAGGCTGGGAGTGTAACAGGGGTTGACATTCAGCAGCATGAACTTCAAGGCCACTTTTGAGTTGGGATCAGTAGGAACATGCGCTATCAGCAAGGAGCATGAGCTGAGAAAAGCCAGCCCAGGATATAAGTCAAACCCTTGCTGACTGAGAATTTCTGGCATGATGCAGCTATGAAAGGCAAAAACTACACAGGCTGTGGAAAGTGAAGTATTTGCAGCAGAGACAGGGAAATGCTGATGACACTCCAGAAAACCAGCAATGGCAGATGTCAAATAAAGTGCATAATTCTGGCAATCCGTGGTCAAAAAAAAGATTCACTTAAATTACAAGGATGCAAAGAGGGCGACAAAGACAGGCAGAGGGAGGAAAAAAAAAGTGATGAAGAATCTGTGGTTATGTTATGCCTACTGAAAAGTCATCTGGGTGAAAGGAAATATGTCAGGGTCATCCTAATGAGGGATGAAAAGAACACAGTTAAGAAGATAGAAGTATAATCAGGATATGAATCAGTTCAGCTTGGTTATTAAGATTGTATATCATCAGAGAAGTGAGTGTCTGCAATAATCTCTGTTTGAAATTGCATGGCAAAACATTGTCACTTTTGGAACAAGAGGATTACTCTGAACCAGAATAGGACAGTGTCTGTCCAAACAAAAGCCTGGACATGATGACCCACAGGATTTAGCCCCATAGAAGCTTAACAGTGAGATGCAAACTGAGGCTTCTGAGAGATGACAAATATGCTGCTTACAAAAACTGCTCTTCTAGAACGAGCAGGTAAACATAAAGTAGGTAAACATAAACCAAGTCATTTCCAGAGAGAACACACCAAGAATCTGGGACACTGATCTCTTCCACCAATAGAGCTGCTGGCAAAGACTTTGATTTTGCTGTCGCTCAGCAGAAGGGCAGTGATGGTGTCAGATACCAGACAACAGCATCAAAAGAAACAGCAATCCTCCAAAAAGAGACAGGCACACGTTACAGCATTTGTGAGATGAGTCAGAAAAAGCTGTAAATCAAGCCAAGATCCTCTGGAACAAAGCTGCTTTAGGAATATAAAATCTCCATCACGGACTGAGGATCTAGGAAGGCAAGTCATTCATTGGGGCTGAATTTCCCATACTACCAAATTTATGTTGTAATTTCCCCTCTTCCTCAGTGGCAGCTAAAGCACCTTCCAGGTGGCTATTACAAGGCATGTAACATACTGTACCCCTTTGGGGTAAGACTTAATTACACATAAGTAGTTTTGGTTCTGCTCTCAATTCTGCCACAAATTCAGTGTATGACCACTGGAAAGTAACTTATTTTATTTGTATTTATCTTTAAAAAGAAAAAAAAAAAAGAAAATTTTTCTCTAAAACTCTTGTTTGTCCAATTAGAACATCTCAGCAATGGTTTTTTAGAGGCTTTGTAGAGCACATACCGAAATAAATAAAGAAATAAATAAATGGCAGTTATGGGTCAACATTGTACAAATGGCAAATGAAAATGATCTTCTCTAATGACACCATGAATATATATGCACAGAAACTATAGGAATAGTAAAGGTAACTTTAAAATTTAATCAGAAAATCAAAACAATGGAAAAGTATTAGGAATGTAGAGCTCATCAGGGCAAGCAGAGTCAATTAACTGTTCAGCTGTCCAAGCATAGAGCAGAAAATCTCTTTTTCACCGAGTACAATGACCACTACGATCCCAGCTGTAATCAAATACAGAACTGAAAGAGAACTAAACCAGAGAAATCAAACCCAAAAAACACAGGGCCAGATCTGACTGACACACCACTGACTCCAGTGGAATTAACTGGTTGGATGCTCCCACTCACTCCAGCAATCAGAAGTTAACAATTATTACCCTGAACAGCTTCCCACTGCTGATGGGACCTTTCCCATACACTAGAAAACTTATGCACAATGACCTACATTAGTACAACACACCTTTTTTTTTTTTTTGCTTTTTTGTCTATATAAAAATTAGATGTGTATTGTTACCCTAATATTTACATAAAGCATAACAATGAATTCAGTTGCTGGGTCACCAGCAGTTCATCTGCACAAGAGCCATCTGCATCACTGCATTTCAGGCTGTTGCAATGCACAAAATGATGTCACGGGGAACAGACTGGCTACAGCTTCACCTCTACTCACTGTCCTATTTATGAAGACTCATGACAAAAAACTGTAACAGGCAAATAAGGAAAACAGCATGAAATGCATCTACAATAATAGGGAACAATTATCTGTCTTGAAATGTAACCACTTGGAAATTCAGTCTGTCAAGGAACTGGACATTTAATTATTATAATCATTCTAAACAAGAACTAATTGCAACCGAAGATTCACTTTTATCTCGACTTTTGCTTATGAATTTTAAGTGTGTTACCTATTAGGATATAACCAAATCTATGAAAATCCAAACAAATTACTCCCCTTACAGTAAGCCTTCCTTATGCAGTACAAGCCTGCTTTCCTTTTCTTTTTGAGGCATCTGAATGAATATTTCTAGCTAATGGCTAAATTCTTTTCCATATCTAGATTCAAAGAGGCAAGGAATATGTATACTTTGCTATTCCCCTAGAGAACAGATTTATTTTAGGACAAGAAAAACTATGCCTGCTTTCAAATTTTATCTCTTCCTCATGCTTTCCTGCCACCACTTATGAATGTAAAAGTTAAACTACCTAGAACTATCTAAGGAAATAAATCTAATTTCATAGCTATAACCAAAGTATACCCTACAATAATTGCTACTGATTCTGTAAGTTCCATCTTTTCACCTTCATACAACCTTGACAGTTACTAAATTACAGTTGAAAATACACTGACATAATTTATTAACATGGTCCCATCAACTGACTTAGCATTGAGATCAGATTTGTATTTTTATGTTGTAGTATATGTGAGAAATGCCTCAGACAAATCCATAGAATCATTTAGGTTGAAAAGACCTTTAAGATCATCTGTACCAGTTCTAACATCAGCATTTTCTTTCTATGGCCCCCTAGGTTACATTCATGACCTAAACTCATTTGGAATTTTACATATCTTAGTGTCATTAAGAAGCGTCCTTGATGCACCACAGAAGTTCAGGTGTGTGCTTCCATTAATTCCAGTTAGGTCTCAGATCTTTGGGAATTCAAGGTGCATGTCAGGTAGAACCAAATATCCTTGATTTTCTTCCTGTGAAATTATAATGTACCACTGTACAGTAAAATCCAGGTTTAGGAACTGCAGCCACAGTTGCAGGGAGAAGCACTGTCCTTTTCGCTGACTCATTTTTCAAGTTCAAAGCATAAAGTCAGGAGCATCATGACAAAAAGGGTCTCTGTGCAACAGCCAAGGAACAGTTCCATGTACCGTAGTTCTGGTAGTGACCCACAGGTTTACTCTCTGCTACCGTGTTACCTATAAAAGAAGAGGAAAGAGTTACCTACACAAAATGGACCAAACAAGGACGACAGCACGTGCTTTGTTGCTGCAAAGGAACTGTGCACATGAACACATCATGAATGAATGTGACCCAGCCAACCTTTGCACCGTGCAGAGAAGCAGAATCTCCACACAAATGTTAATTACACTGATATTCAACAGCACAAGGGAGATCTACAGATAAAAAAGTGGCCATTCACTATTAAATTTGGCACTGGTATCTCATGGAAATCTCCTATTTTCCTTTGCTTCATGTCATTTTCAACACCAATGCCTACAGCACGAGTGTACATCCCAAAAGACCATTCATGAAAAAGACCATTCATGCAAACCACTACCCATTCCCAGCGGTCCATTTTGTGGATGGGAGGGAACCAGGGAACAGACAGCACATGGTCTGCAGAGGGGAAAAATTGTTCTTGCAGAAGAAATCTCTCCTAGACAGCACTTCTCCCATGGGACCCCACAGCCTTTCCCCCTTCAAACCAAATGTCAGGGCTGCAGGGACCTGTGTTTAAGCTTTAATGCACACACAGGCACAAACCCAGTGGGGTTTGGGTACAGAGTGAGGAGGGTTCCTGTTGGATTTCCCACTCTGGAAATGGATGAGGACAGGCAGCCTGCAAGGAGGAAAGCTTTGTCAGCTCTGCTCTGTAGTGTCTACATGTGTCACAAAACTGAAGAGACACTCAGCGTAGAGAAGTTTTTATTTCCTTCCCTGAGGGAACTGATGGAAGATACAAGCTCCTCAGCTTTTCACATTTTAACTGTCCCACTCAGCCAGTAACTATTCATCCAAATACTGAGCAGCATCAGCAGTCTCCCATGCTTCAAATGCTTCAAGTTCCACAATTTTTACTTATTTTCATGGAATGAAAAGATAGAGGACTTAAAATTGATTAAATGGCATTTCCTCTTTCAGTGTATAATTAACCTGTAGAAGCCATTGTCCCAAGTAGCACTGATCCCAGGGTCTTAGAAAGCTTTAAAAATTGATTACAAATTTAAATGGTAATGAGATCATCTCTGGTGCATAACAGAAAAAAAAATTAGTATGGAATGGATCTCAACTCTTTTGTTTTAGACGTAAGGCAACTATTACACTGGAAGAACTTCATGTACGTGTACATTTTCTGTAATTGTCCCAGAGGGTTTTACTGTGTCTGATTTAAGCATCCCAGTTCTGAGACTCACAGGTGACTGTAGGGTTTGGGCTACTGGTCTGACAGTTCATATAGTCCTCTTTGCGAAAAATGTTAATAATACACTTAATAAATATTTCGTTGGTTGATCTGAGACAAATCTTTGGTTCATTTTCAAAATAAAAAACTAAGTTATATCATACTTTCCTTTTCTCTGTTAACAAGGGAAATTTTCTTTCCATTCTATTTCCCTTCCAATTGAAAAATAGTGAACTTGAGTGCCACAAGCTTCTGTTCTGAATCTGAGGTTACCATTGCTCATTTTATTCGTGCAACAACTATATCTTGGTTGACAGAGAAAACTACCCACAAGACAGGCAAAATACCTGCAGGGGAAAAATGGGTACCAGGACAGATTCTGTATCACAGCTTTTGCTGTCTAGCAAGCAGATATCTACAAGTGAGCTTGTCATCCAGGGTTTCCTTGGTGCAGGAGAGAGAAAGAAATACTCATGGAAACATTCTTGTGGATGGGCACAGCCATGCTGTGAGATCACCCATTTCTCCCCATGTGACTTGGGAGAATCCTAAAAACTCAGCTTGGCTGGAAATATTCCTGCAGCTGGGAACAACGAATCCCAATGAACCCCCTTAAATTCACACCTCAGCTCAAGTGCCAGTTGTTTACTTACACTTGTCCTCAGAGAAATCTCCTGTGGTGATAAAAACCAACACAAAATGTACCCCACATCCCAGCAAAATAGAGGAAGAGTTTAGTGAAACAACATTTTCCCTCATATTGCTACACCCTGCCCTCTCTTAGCCCCACACAAACTCACTGGAGTTGATGAATTTGCACAGGCCTAATTGCAGGCAGGATGATTTGTCCCGCTCCAGCTTTATAAAGACATCCCTAAGCTCATCAGAATGCAATACCACAGTCTGTACTTCACCAGCTGCAGTACTTGTCATGGGTAATAAAATAAACAATCCATGCCAAATTCACCCTTCTATCAGTAAACTCCCACTGACTCAGGCTGCCTCCTTTCCCTGAGTAAGAGCAAGAGTCATGAACACAGTGTGTGACTCATGTGGTCAGTTGATCTCAGTGAACTAAAAGGCAAATTTTCCCAGGAAGGAAGAGGCAGCTGCGTGAATGAAGACTTGACATCTCAGGCCTTCAGTCATCAGTGACAACATAAAGCTCCTTGTTCTGCCCCTCATCCTTCTGGTATCTACTGAGGGTGTTAAGGATATTTAACACTGGCTCACTCTTATCCACTAAGGTCCTTTTGGTATAAGTTGCCAGCTCTCTTCTGGTATGTCCAGAGATTTTCTTATTCAATATCTAAAATTCCTACTCTACCAGCCTGACCCTTCAGTGTGATGCTACAACACTACCCCTTTATTTATATATGAGTAGTTAAAAGTCAGTGCCTGAGAAAAACTTTAAAGGCTGAGGGTAATCTTTATCTTGCAATAACTGACTGCCAGTTACCCACACTGATTCTAGAGCATGCAGGCCAACTTTCAGGTGTATTATCCACCACAGGAGAACACCAGTCACACTATGGACTACACCTTTGGTACCTGATAAATAAAATTGATCACAGAGCGGTTTGGGTTCGAAGGGACCTCAGAGACCACCTAATTCCAAACCCTCTGTCAGGGGCAGGGATGCCACTCCTCTGATCTTCAAAACAGAAGCAAGCTTTTTCAGACTGGTTGGCTTGGTCAGATTTTTCCAGCAAGTCTGACACTGTGCAATGTCAGTAACTGGGCTTCAGATTGCTGGTATCACACCACAGCTGCCCAAACCTTCTAACGTTCCCTCTTTCATCCAGAAATTAGTGCAGTTTACATTCCTTAGAACAACCATTATTAAACAACATTTGGTGACAGTATTTGCTTATTAACTCAGAGTGTAACCTAATCAACAACATTCATTCCCAGCTAGAAGATACTGTAAAGGGAAAAACTGAGCATATGTCTCTCCTTGCTATTACCTGCTAAAGACTCCTGGTTTATGATATATTTAGACATGCAGTTTGTGACTTGTTGAACTTTGATGCACTGAACTCATTTTAAATTGTTAAGCAGACAGAGGAACATGGTATTTACTCTCTGCTAGCCATTAATTAAGAAATAAGATATCATAGCAAAGGGTCGTTTGGGGTTTTGTTAAAAAACAGGCCATCTACAGGATGGTCTGTAATTAGAAATGGTCTGAACCAACCTGATTTCCAGTAGTGCTCAGTGTTACACAGTTCCTACTGCTATCAGTGCAGGTTCTCAACAACTCCCAAGCCATGCTGGTACTTCCAAAAGCTAAAGGGGCTTTCCAGTAGCACAGGAATTTACCAGTGTCACCTAAACTTAGAGACCTTGGAGCCATGTACTCCATCTGCAAACTGAAGATTGATCCTGGAATGTGATCATCCCTCTAGCACTGGTCACAACGGGATAGCTTCTCTGCCCACTAGAGACTGAAGCAGGGCCTTTTCCAGTTTGATTCCAGGAGTAAAGGGGCTGTTCTGACCCAGTGTTTCCCTCTCTGAGAGCAATTACATTAATCATTGCTTTCCAAAACACCGTAGAGGCCAGTACTGGTGCTCACACCCACAGATGTAATGCCATAAGCAAGAGCCACCTTTAAATATAGGCGATCTCTGTACTTGCCTTTGTGGTTTTGACTTTATTTCCACTGCTGCAAGACCAACCTGAATAGTCTGGTAGTACTTTACAGTCTTCTCCATCCAAACAGGGGTTCATATGACACCACCACTTCTGTAGGACAATGGAAGCTAGAAACAGCAAAGAGAAACAGGATAGAATATCTTTTATTACTATGGGGTTTAGCAGGGAGGTTTGTCTGTGCCATCTTCAACTGCTTGGTTTCAAAAGGTAGCACCAACAATTACTGTTCTAACAGTGAATCACACAGAGTGCTTTTGAGCTAAAAAACTCCTCCAGCCCTCAGAAGGGTAAATGCCGTATGCAAATGATGAAGGCAGGCAAGCACCACCAGAGACTGACTCCAGCATTTGAACTGACCTCTGGAAATGCCTTTCCATCTCCACTGACTACAAAAATGACTTGCCTCCTTCATTTACATGCTTCAGTCAAGTACCTGCTGCAAGGTGGAATGAAGCTGAGGTTTCTTATTTAATCCAGATATGCATATGCAAGACTGGATGTAGAAATGCCAGTTTCTCCCTTCACTGGGTGAGAAAATAGAATTGCACAGAGATATAACCACATGAGGTCTGTCAGCAAACAGTGCAGGTAAGAATGTGGAAACCACTGGCAAGCATTAGATTATCAACTAAAAATCTACCTGCAGTTACACTGCCAGTTTTCAATATGTTTTGGAAGACTACAGTAGCAGACCTTAACTGTGCAAATTTATTAATTTTCTACCCTTAAGCCAATTTTTATTAATAAGACCATGCTTGTTATTTTTACAAATGTAGTCATGACTTTATGAAACTGCTAGTAAAAAGATATATACTTTCCCACAAAGAGCTGCAAGCATCTGCATGCACTTCTCAGTTTTACATTGTTCATGGAACTTACCAAATCCCTGAAAATTATCATGAAATATGTCAGTTAACCATCCTACATAATCTAGATTGAATTTCAAAATAAAATACGACTTAAAATGCTGATTTAGCTAGTCTGCATTATTCTATTATGTGCACAAACTGCTGAAATGCCTGTTTGAAAGGACAACACACTCAAAAGAGATGAACAAAAATAACAGTCTACTTCAAGTAAAGCACTTCTTTCCTTTTAATTTTAAGGCATATTTGTACTTCTGCAACCTTTAAATTAGGGCGACAAGCAGGCAAGCTGACATCAGGACATCGCTGAAATGTTCATTCAATTACTTTTGTTTTGCACTTTCACTCAAAGCCTATGTGAAAAGCACTGTGAAAAAATATCCTTCTGGAACAGTAGTTTGGCTTTCATAAACTAATTTTTCAGTCTTATAACATTATAAAATAAGTGTGAATTTTCACCAGACATTTGGGTCTCAGATCATTTGCATTAGTGCTGATTGATTGTTGACAAAGGGGGTGAAACTTGACTGTGCTTCCAAGGAGGTGAGGGATCATTCCCGCTCCAGGCATATGGTCCAGTCATCTATTTAATCCATTTTATCTCTGCTACTTTCTAAATTTATTCCAATTTCTATACCACGTTTATTTTAGGTAAATGCAGAAGCCTGAGGGCACATGCAAAGGCCTCTGAGGAGGCAGGAGATCCTGGCAGCAAACCAGCTGTGATTTCAGAGCTCTGCCTCAAAGCCAGCGAGTGCCAGGGGGCCTGGCTCCATCACCACAGCTCTGCACAGGAATGCTGGGAGAAGGGATGCAGTGACACACTGAGGCTTTGCCTGCACTCTGACATGGGAATGTGCTTTCATATACCTGAAAACATAAGTTCAAATTCAGATCTGGAAGTCACCTGTTCCCTGAAGGTATCTAGAATCCCTTGTGCCTCAGTTACTCCAATAGCTCCTTTAGTTCCATGGATTCTCATTGGATTCCTGAGGATCAGGCTTGCAAAACTCTAGTTACTGGCTGTCCAGAGGTGTTTTCCAGAGAATGATTTCTCCTTGGAATGTCCACCAGCCCCACAGAGCCAAGGACATGCTATCACTGCCCCACTGGGCAGCAGCACGATTTTTGTCAGTTTGTTTGGCAGTTTTTGTGGGGCTCTGTCTTTTAAAGAAAAAACAAACAAACAAACAAACAAAAAACCCACACAAACAACAAACCAAAATAAACACCTGTGACATAGTCTGAAATAAAAGCCGGGAAATTTTCCTCCCTTTCTGCTTTCCTTCCTCTCACAAGCAGCCAAACTTGTGCAGCTTAGAGGCAGGTAACCTTCACTGGAGGAACAAGAGGGGAGAGATGGGGCAGAGAGGCTGAAGGAAAACTTCCTCAGAGAGCCCTGCTTTTGGCACCTTAGGGATTTCTTTCCCAGGCAGAAAGAGGGGTGAGGACAAGGTCACAAAGGATGGAGTGAAAAAAGCTGGTGTGCTGGGGTAGGTAGGGCTGGGTGATTCAAGGTAGGAACTACACGTACCAACCCCCATGTGTGTGATCAGCAGCAGAGGGACAGTTGCTGCCCTGGTGTAAATCATCAATACTGCTGGATAACACCTGAAGTTCAAAGAAAATAAAATACTACCACGAGCCAATTGCTCTATAAAATCTTTTCTTTTGGTTAGAAAAGTAACTCTAGGCTTTGGGTATATCCTTCCCTTTAAACTCAGGGCAAAATACAGGCAAACTAAGCAGGCCTGCATTCAGGAAAAATGTGCTGAAAAAGAAAACTGAGTGTCTGTATCAGACTGTAATATGCAAATTCAAGACACAAACTTTCTGGTTTTCACAGTGTAGAAGCCTACTGAAGGATATGTACAGAGTGGGAGAAAACACATCTAATCCTGGGGCTAAGGAAAGATGGTGAGTTCTGTAGCTCAGAAACTATAACTGTAGTCCCACATGCCTGCAAAAATAAGCGAAGTCTGCTAAAACATTACCCTAAGGGGTGAGGGGGCAATCAAAGGCTTCTACTGGAAAAATCAAAATCTTACATTCATAATATTTTGTTGCATTTAATTTCAACTATCTTTTAAGAAAAAACAGCTACCAAATTCCTTCAGCAATTATTGATTGAATCAAGCTTCTATAGATTTCTGCCACAGAATGACAGTGTCACCTTTACCATCCTTAAATTAGTTTAAAATAATGCCTGACTTCTATTACCTGTTATATGTAAAAGCATTTCTGCTATTTGATATGTCACCTAAAAATACAGAAGATATTTCTGATGTAACAAGAAAACCCCCTAACAAATTGCACAGTTAAAGTTGATTGTACTCCTGAATTACAAGGCATGAAAAGACTAAGCATCTAAAAAATAGAAAATGAAAATCTACTTTCTTTAATATCTGTTTTGAGAACCTCATAACAAGTTAAAAAAAAAAACAGAACAGATTCACATGTACTTAGAGTTTTATGTTTGAAGTCAAATATTTCTGAATGCTAGATTAAAATTGGACTTTGAAGTTTTTGTTTTATACCTAACTGAAATGGTTACAATTTTATGTGCAAAAGAATAAAAATAGAAAGGTCTTGCTTAAAAAATGGAGGATTCTGGTAACTTTGAGATTAAAAAAGAAAATAAATCTGTCTTGGAGTAGCTTTACTACATTAAAAAAAAAAAGCAGCATCCTGTCCTTGGAATAGACTAAGGCAACTGGGCCCCATTTTTCATTCCCCAGGGAGGTGTCCTAGCTCAGACAGTGTCCTATGCAACCCTGTGCTTGCTTCAGTCTCCAAACTCTGAAATATTCAGGATCACCACACATGGAACTGAATTAACTTGGGGCATCATTGTAGCACTGGTGGCAAGTGTAAGAGCCCATTAGGCACATTAAATGGTGAAAAGAGCACAGTTCTCAATATCAGCTGTCCAAGCACTATCTGCATGCCCAGCCTTAGGGTTGCATTTATTATCTGTTGAGTTTTAACCAAGCTACTCTCTCTTAAGACACCTGGAAGAGTTAATACCATAAGCTCGAATTTCTGGGCTTATGCAGTTTTCAGACTAGTTTTAAAGGAGAATTCTTGTGTGGAAAAAATTAAGGAGCTTTATTGGCACACACACAAAATGGACTAGTACATATATTAAGAGGATTAATTACACCAAGATTTATTCACAGACTCATTATCATCAATGCACAGAGATGTTTCCAAAATTAACAAAAGGAAGGATTACGCTTTAGAGGCAATGGGGGGGAAGTCAAACATCAAGGAGACTAAACTCCTCAAACAATGAACCACTAGTGAGCAGGAGGCTGCTTACCTTCCACACACGAGGGCTGGGCCCGTGTTGTCCCAGCCACCTGCCCCGGGAAGCAGGAACACTTCACTGTCTGGGATCGCTCCTCGATCCGGTTCTTATTGCAGCAACGGTGCACGGCCACAACCTCACATGTCCCTTGCTTGACCTGGTGCTGGCCTAATAAATGCAGAGACAAGTGATGGAGAGCAAAACAAAACATCAGCACATAAAGGAAGAGACACTTCATACAGTCCTGCGAGGTACTCAGTCTCCCCAGCGTCAGCTTAAAGCCCAGAAAAACAAAGAGGCAAAGCACCTTGTAGGATCTGGCTTGTTCCCTGAGTTTATCCTATTCTTACTAACAAAGATTAGTTCATCATAAATCAATTTTTCAGTCTATCTTCCCTGGCCTTTACAGAACCACAGGGAGAAAAGGAAGTTGGAGTAGTCAATTAGGTAGGAAGAACAGACATGCAGACAGAAGAAGCTCTTCCTTCCTTTGGCTTCCTGTCTTCCATTAGGTTTGGTACTCAATTCTTTCACTTCATAAATGGACACAATGGACAGGATAATGTTTAATGCAGGAGAGAGTTATCTTAAATAGTAGGGAAACTTTCCAACACAACAACATGTGAGTCCTGCCTGTTGCTTGCAGACAACAAGAACGAGGTAGGTTGAAAAGCTGCCATGGGCAGTCAAGTTTTGTCAAAAAAGAAAAGGAAAAAACCACGCCCAAACTACATGGATTTCCCAAGTTCCCTCCTAGATCATTCTGAATAAACCTGTGATAAGTGTTGTATAAATATTCTAAATATTCTATGCTCTTGAGTGCATTTCCTCACAATTCACTGTCCCTTATTTCTCTGAGGTCATTTTCCCCTTCCTCTCTTTTCCTTGCTCTTGCCTTCACATCTGACTTCACTGCTCCTTGCACCTGACCCTTTTCTTCCATTGCCAAATTTACTCTCTATCCTGCCTAAAACCCTTCCTCAGAAACTCCACAAACCCCTCTCCTCTTTGCATAAGTCATTTCCACATCCTCAGTTCCCTGAACAGCCTTCAAGTGCTTCATCTTGCATTTGTCTTGTCTTATTTAGAGCAGAGCCTTGGAAGGCTCTTATCTGTGTTTGTAAAGCACCTTGTAAATTAACAGCACTACAGAACAGGGGGAGTTATTTCATAAGTGAGCTAGACAGAGAGACAAGGCTGAGAATAATAAAAATAGTCACCATCAAAGCAGTACAGGCTCCTGATATGAGAAGAGACAACAGCTTAGTTATTGGTGTAGGTGTGGCTGATATCAAAGGCACAGAGACTGAGGAAAGGCAGGGGAAAGGGAAAGCACTCTTCAGGAACAGAATCCTCCAGGTGGCAAACAGAGGATTATCCTATTTCCTATTCACTCCAGGTTTGCTCTGTTTTGGGTTTGTTGTTTGGGGTGGGGTGTTTTTTCTTTTTTACAAAATCTGTTACTAACTAATATCAGACACAGTTTATTGGCAGACTGAATTTTCATGCAGGTACCTAATATCAATATCATAATAAACATGGAAAAAATGAAAAAAAAGCTACTAATCCCTTTGACAGTTGCTTTTCTGTAAGTCAATATGGAAAACATACACAGAAGAAAAGGCAAATTGGCCACTTCATTCCAAATTGTGGTTCCACAAAGCGCCTCACATGACAATGCTTGGAGTTAATAAGGTGGTATGGGGTTCTGATAGAAAAGATTTTGTAAAATGAGGTTGTTAATTTAAGAGAGTATATTTATTTAATTATCTGTGTATTAGATCTACAGCCTGAGTCAAAACTCTTTGGAGTAAACAGAAAAAACTTCCATTGGTTTCCTACAGTGCTTACTGTGGTGGTCCCTGCATTCACTGGAGTCAACAACAAAATTTCTATTGACTTCAGGAGAGCAAGGTCATTTTGGACTGTCTCTTGAGAAGCAGATTTTATAAGGGAGGGGGAAAAAAAGCAAAAATTTTTAACTGCCCAGGCCACATATTTGTGTTTGCCATGTATCTCATCTGAAAGACCAAGTGACCAGGTCTTCATTTTAATTGAAGTCATTAGTCACCAGATATGAGATGCCAAGATAAAAGCCTTTTTTCCAGAAGGTACATCATAAGGATGGACTAGATCCAGCTCCAACTCTCAGTATGTAGCTGCAAGAATGTCTGTTTTCAAGCTCAAATCCTGCTTCCCTCAGGTGAAGAGTCCTGTTAAGCCAATACCAAAAGAAATCAAACAGGTTGGCCCTGAGCATACAGCCCCAGAAACCTGGGGCTCTCTTTCAATCATGTTGTTTGAATTTTAAAGCAGTGACAGCTCTGCCCTGAAGTACCAAGAGCCAACAGACACACTGCTGTTTGCAGAAGGCAAGATTAAGTTCCCTTATGAATGCACCCTTTGGTTTAGTAGCTGTTTTGCTGTCACTTATTCACGCTTTGCAGCTACACAGACAGGTGAGGGGAGGTGTCCCCTCTTCATCTGCTGGCAGAGGTGGGGTGCTAAGGTTTCAAAGCACCCAAAGAAAGACAGAGCTCTCCTCCCTTGTCCCTAGTGCACAGCTCTTTAAGGAGTAGAACACTAGAGGAACTAAAAAGCCACAGACATCTGCATGCATCATTTGCATTAATTGGATTGCCCTTGTAATAGTCTTTCCCCTCCTACATGTTCTCATCAATATTTCCTCCTGCTTGTTCACACATATCTTAACACTTTTTATTCTGCTGAACACCACACACATTTCTTAATATTCAGACACATCTGTGAACAGGTGCTGAACAAGTGCTGAGGGTTAATGTGGTGGCTTTTGGTCCTGTTTTTGTCAGTGTTCAGCAACTTTGAGGATAAGCACTCCCATTTGCAGAGTGACTTTTACATTTAAGAAAACTCACAGAATATCTTAACCAACCATCAGCTCAGTCTATTCCTACCCATATCCACTGAAACCTGTTGTATCTGCATTCAGGTGCCCAAAGGCAGCAAAAAGAAGGTATATAAGAATACTCTCCTGCATGTTTTGATATTCATCTTGCACTAAAATAAACCTTCATCTCAGGTTTAAAGTACATTTAATGTACAGCTGAGAGTGTACTGACAGAAACACTCAAGAACAGCCTTACAGTGTGTTATAACTCAGGGAGTCCCTGGAAGCCAAGTCATTTGAGGAGCAGGGACTGAAGAGTTTTTAAAATATGAAGATCACAGTAAGTGAATTCTACACCAGACACATCAAGAAAGCCATTTCAGGGAGAACTGCAGTGAGAAAACGGGACAAAGCCAGGCTGTGGAGAGCAAAGCCCATAAATTCATAGCTCATCACCAGTAAACTTATTCAGATCTGCAACTTTAGGGCTGTCAATATTTGCAGTTGAAATTCAGTTACATCATCACATTTAAATAAGAAAACTCTCCAAGGAGAGCTACATTTTATCAGCAACACTACAAGAGAAAGCTTCCTATCATGGAACACCTCCCAAATATCAAGGACAGAACATCTGCCAGCTGAGCACTGCAGAGGATGGGGAATGAGTGTTGGAAACTGTGGGGATCTGGGTTACCTCTGACCAGGAGTTTGGCACATGTGTTGTTATCCATATCCCAATTTCTGTACAGCTTAGCTTCCCTAGAAATATCAGTGTTATTCAAGTTCACTAAGTACACTTTCTCTCTCCATAAAGGGCACAGACATAATGGGACAGGACTTCCTAATGGAAGTAACCTCCACGACACTCCCTGCTATGAATTTTCCTGCCTTCCATTATGAGATATCTACAAATAACAACAGGCCTCATGTGCCCAAGTCCAGAACACCTCTTAGTGACCTCAAGGAGTGGCCAATGAAGGTTCTGTTTTCAGCCCAGAAGGATGTACCATGCAGAGCTGTGAGACAACCCCCAGAGTGCTCAGAGCACACAGCCATCATCTCTGAAGAATAAGAGAGTACAAGCCAGGAGGTTATTAGGCTTTCACATTACAAGCCAGCACAAGTGTTGTGAGTAGAGTTGACTCAATAATCACCACTGAATTGTTTATTCTCAGTTTAATACGTTTTTTCAACTAACATACTAGACAAGACAGTATTTTCACTTTCTTCCTACAAGTCAGAGGGTAGACACTCAATTAAATGTTCTAAAACTCTTTGAAACGCTCAAATGAAAAGAGGGAAATACAATTATTGTTAATAAAATATCAAACATCATAGTGTCGTGCTTCAAAACTACAAGGAACTTATCAAAGAAAGAGGAAGGCTTTCAGAAGGTTGTTAACCAATTCTGTCCACATCCATTTCATCTCTGTGACTAACCCTAATCACTCCCAAGGAGTGCTGCTTCAATGCAATATACATGCAGGCAGCATGCCTCAATCAGAAATTCTGAACAACCTCCTCTTTTTCTACTTTCTTGGCTAAGAAACATAAGGAAAAGACAGACTTAAAGGGAAATTTTATCTCTGTTTCATAAGCTGCCACCTCTGATGAAGACAGCAACTGTACTGTGGAGAGCAGCACATCTAGGGAGTAGGACCATACTAGCCCAGCTCAGCACATTCCTCAGAAAGCCTCAAAACCCACGAGATTGGTCTGCACAAAATCAACTGCATCATTTATTTAAAGGATAAGAGGATGGCTGTCAATAGGAAGATGAACAGCTTTGGAACCAAACATTGCAGACAACATTAAGAGAAACACTGATGCTGTTTGGAAGAGGAAGACACTCTGAAATGTTAGTGCCAGTTCATCATCTGTTCTGCCTTCATTTCATGCTGGCTTTTGCTTACAAATATGTGAACTTGCAGAAGCACACACCAAAAGGCAAATATTGTTAGAAAAACACATATTAATGGAAATAACATTTGCTATTTTTCATATTATTTACCAAACATATTTACAAGACCCTCTCCAGCTCACGGGGTGCTTTGGGTTTTTTTTTTTTGGGAGGGGAGCAGAGAAGGGGTGTTTCTAAAGGTAAAAACTCTTCTCAAGAGAAGAAGCTAGAAGTCATTGAGGGGTAAAATTAACACACCATCTTCTAGGCTGAGAATTTCAGCAGAGCTTTTCTCTACTACCATTCCATCAGCCTCTGGATTTTTTTCACAGTTTCACATTCATGTCACAAGGTTCTGACTTAGATGCTCTTCCTCCTCAAGGATATAGAGTAGATTTATAT